GAATTGGTGGGGAAGTGCAAGTTTGTGGGCCTGGCCGCGAGGGCGTGGGCGCAGTACGCGCGGGAACATGCAGGCGGCGGCGGCGGCGACTGCGGCCTGAGGGCCGGATTTGGCAATGCAGCCCTCGAGCAATGCAACCCTCCTCCTCCTCCTCCTCCCCTCCCCCTCCCCTCCCCTCCCCCTCCAGCTCCCTCTCCTTCTCCCCCGCCCCCCTTCTCCCCTCCTCTCCCCCCTCCTCCTCCCTTTCTTCCTCCCCCTCTTCCTCCCCCTCCTCCCCTCGCCCTCCCTTTTCTTCCTCCCCCTGGGCGATCTTCCTTCGTTTCGGCGCGCGGTCGGGGGAGTCCGTTTCTCGGGCGCCGGAGCCGTCAGAAAGAGAGAAAGAGAAGGAGGAGGAGGAGGAGGAGGAGGAGGAGGAGCAGAACTCGCCCCAGGGAAGCACTCAAGACCTCTGGGGCCGCGGACTAAGAAATCTCATCGCCAGATGACTGAGGAGGCGATGGCGGAGCTCTCTCGGGGGCGGTCCTCCCGAGGGCTCCTGTGCGGTGCTGCAGGTCCGGCTCTTGCTTTTGCTCCTCCTCCTCCTTCTTGTTTTCTGCATCTTCGTAGTCGTCATCATCATCATCATCACCACCACCACCACCACCACCACCACCACCATCATCATCATCATCATCATCATCATCATCATCACCACCACCACCACCATCATCATCATCATCATCATCATCATCATCATCATCATCATCATCATCATCATCATCATCATCGTCAGCAGCATCATCATCATCATCATCGTCAGCAGCATCATCATGGTCATCATCAACATCACCACCATCGTCATGACCGCCACCATCATCAGCATCATCATCAACATCACCAGCATCATCAGCAACATCATCAGCATCATAATCGGACTCAACACCAGCATCAGCATCAGCATTCTCATCATCACCATCATCGGCATCATTATCATCACCATCATAAGCACCATATTCTTCATCATCATCATACTCATCGTCATCACCATCAGCAGCATCATCATCAGCATCATCATCATCCTCTTCAGCATCATCATCATCATCATCATCAGCACCATCATCATCATCATCACCATCATCATCATCAGCTCCATCATCATCATCATCATCATCATCATCATCATCATCATCATCATCGTCATCGTCATCGTCATCGTCATCGTCATCGTCATCGTCATCGTCATCGTCGTCATCATCATGAACACCGATGCTCGATTCTCGATGCTGCGGGTCGGGCTGATAAGCGCCTGTGACTCTCGGTGTCCCGCAACTTCACTAGCCCAATGGGCCAGAGGCGTGGCAAGATCTCCAGCTACTGGTGAACAGTATATTTCTAGTTCGCGCGCACAGGGCGGCCCCTGGAGTCCCTGAACGAAAAGTGCCCCGAGCGACTCCTGGGACACTCGGGTCTGAGATGGTTATCCCCCTGTGTGCGGCCTTTCAGCGTCTGGGGGCGCTCCAAGAGGGCCTGAAGAGGCCCCCCAGATGGTCCAACCGGGCTTCGAGTTGCCGACATATCAGTCCACGACTCCCAAGATGGCTTCCAGACGGCCGCAGACGCTTCCAAGACGCCCAAGGCAGCCTCCAAGAGGCGTCACGGAGCAACAAATATTGACTTCCCTTCGGTGTTTCAACGATTCTGCCGGTCTTACCTTTTCGGCTTCCCGACGCTCTAAAACGGCCCAAGACGCCCCCAAGATCGCCCCAAGATGGCCCAAGAGGCCTCCAAGAGGGCCCCAGAACAGCCCAAGAGGGCCCAAGAGGTTTCCAAGACGGCCCAAGATGGCCCCAGACGGCCCCAAGAGGGCTTCCCGACCTCCAAGAGGGCCCCAAGACGGCCCAGGTGAGCTCCAAGACGGCCCCAGAGGCCTGCAAGACGGCCCACGATGGTTCCAGGACGGCCCCAAAAGGGGGTGCGAGGGGACCAGACGGGAAACTCGAACGGACGCCACACCGAACTGCTTCATCTCCATGCCTGCTGTCGCCACTCTTCCGGAACAAAAAAAAAAGCCAGGCAGCGCTGCATGGGCCACGAACGCGCTGGCAAACGCCAGCGATGGCACAACACGGGCCAGCGGAATGAGCGAAGCGAACAAGTAACTCTCGGGCTAAAGCTATGAAGAGAGGGAACGGCAACACGGCTGGAAGGATGGGGGGATCCTTCCAGGAGGGGGAAGGGAAGTAACGGTGGCTGAGCGTGGTGCGCAGCAGGCCAGCCTGCGGCGGTCTTGTCTGCACCCGCGGGGACGTCGGCCAAGATCAGATCCCTCTTCGCCTCCTCCTCAACACCACACCATGACGATCATCATCATCACCACCACCATCATCATTATCACCACCACCATCATCATCATCATCATCATCATCATCATCATCATCATCATCATCATCATCATCGTCATCAGCATCATCATCACCATCATCATCATCATCATCATCATCATCGTCATCATCATCATCATCATCAGAATCAGCATCAGCATCAGCATCAGCATCAGCATCAGCATCAGCATCAGCACCATCATCATCATGATCATCACCGCCATCATCATCATCATCATCAGCATCAGCATCAGCATCAGCATCAGCATCATCATCATCATCATCATCATCATCATCAGCATCATCATCAGCATCACCATCATACCCACCACCCCTGGCGGAAGCACCCACCGGAGCCTCTGGGGAGACGCTGCCCACAAATTCGCCCTTGCACTGGTGTGGGCGCCACGGGGTGAAGCCAGCTGCACCCCGCACCCCTCGCGGGCAAGAAGCACGTGCGCACGGGCGTGAACTTTCGACGTCAGCGCTGTTCGCAGCGGCGATATAGAGGCCTCCTGGATGTGGCCCGAGTAGATGAGATCGAAGGATCGCGCCGCATCGCCAGTGCATCGCCGATGTATCGGCGATGCATCGGGGACGTCGGCGATGCATCGGCGACGTCGGCGTGGAGAAACACGAGCTCCACAGCGAGCCGCATCGGCGATGCTTCGGCGATGCGGCGCGACCCTCGGACCCCACCTGCTCGGACTCCATCCGGGAGGCCTAGAGGATAGCGGGGAGCACGAGATCGTTTGGGTTTTTGTTCGGGGCCGCAGGTCTGGCCGCACTCGGCACGTGGCCCCACGCGTCCACTGCAGCATCCCCCACAGGAGGAACGTCGCGCGGTATATTTAGGTCGGCGCCCGATGCGTGAGCTTACGCTTCCAGCCGACTTTTTTTTGGACGGAGCGCACAGCAGCCCGGCGGAGAGAAGGGTCGCTCCAGGAGTCTTCCAGGAGCCTAGATCAGAGGCTCGTTTTCCTCCGGCCTGGTCGGGGATGGACAGACCTCCCTTTAGCAAAACGTGGTTTAGTGAAAACGACCTCGGGCCCAAACCTGGCGGGCGCAAGCCTGGAAAATAACGGCCGCGGCGCTCTCTCGAGAACCGAAAACGGACAATTCACTAATCGACGTGTCAGGGTAGGAGGTCTGTCCACCCCCGAGATCAGAGGCTTGTTTCCCTCCGGCCTGGGTCAGGGGCTGCGGCTCGCAGTCCTTGCCTCGTGATCCGTAGCCCATTTGGCGCTCACGGGAGCGCCGTCTCAAACCCCAGAGTCTTGCAGGAGGTCCGGGGCGCTTCACCCTGGCTCGGAAGCAGCAGCCCCACAGGGAGGTTACGACACGAGAAGCAGCCGCACCTCCGACGCCTCGCGGCCTGGCCGTCTCGGCCGCGACCCCGTGGACACGGGCAGCGCTCTGCGCTGACGTCCCGCGCAGAGCGCCTTCCCCAGGACCGCGTGTCCCTCCCCGAAGCCCGATGTCGTGTTTCTTTTTTGCGCGGGGTCCTCAGAGGTCCCGACCCTTTCCCTCGGCCCCGAGCATCTTTTAGACGGTCCCAGGGCTCACCGAGGGCCCCCCGGGGCCGTTAAGTAGAACAACCATCTGTGTGTGCGCAGTACGCAGGAGGAGGTCTCTGTAATGGAGCCGCGTCTCGGAGTCCAGCTCGCGAAGGCACGGATGTGGACTGTTTTTCGAGGTGGAGCCGGAGAGACGACACAACACCTCCGTGAAGCGATCCTGGGGGCTCTGCTGACGCCTGCGAGACTTGCAGCTGTGCATGGCAACGTCGCGGGAGGAGGAACAGGAGGGGAAGGAAAGGAGGGGCGTTGGAGGCGCCCAGGTGGCCGGGCCCCGAGAAGATCGGTCAAGAGGGAGGGGAAACGGTGGGACCTAGGCCAGAAGCACATCCCTAAGAAAAAGAAACCTCCCGTCGGCCAAAACAAACGGAACAGTCGAGGGTACCCTTCCCAAGATGCACAAGAACGTCCAACAAGCACGAAAGACATTACGGCACCCTCCCAGAATTGACCTCGATCCTATACCTTGGTCCGACTGTTAGGGCAAATCTGTTCAACATCTGCCCCTGGACACCTCCCACGGTTCATCTTGGCTAGTTGTTTATCCACGATCCGATTTGGGCTGTCCCAGGGCCCGAAGAAACGCCCCCCAGAAGCAGGAAAAGGTAACATACAAACCCAGAACCTCGCATCTGGCTTCCCTCTTCCTGCTCGCCGGGACCAGTGCTGGGCCAACCGCAAACCCAGAGCCGGCTCCAAGGAGGGAGGAGGGGAGGGAGGAGGGAGTACGAGGTGAGGGGGGTGGAAGAGACAAGGCACGGATGTGGATGTGCTGGTCGCTTGTGGCCCCGAACCCTGCCATTAGTGCCTGCCTGTTCAATCGGCCAATCACGCCACCCGATCACGTGATCCGATCGCAACCCTGATCACGATGGCCACCGCACCGATCACGGATCGAGCACGCATTCAAGCTCGCACGATCGAGTGATCAAGCCGAACCGATAATGCGATCGGCGAGCACGTGAGCTCCCGATCACTGCGATCCGTAGTCGCCGATCGCGTGATCAGCAGACGCTGGGACCCTGCCGCTCCCCTCCGCGCCCCCCCCTTTTGCTCGCGGCTCCTCCAGCAGCTCTGCGGGCTCGAAGTCGAGCTTGAAGTGGTGCCTGCGCACGGCCTGGGCACGGGGCAAGCTCCTCATCCTCCCTGCTGCTGCTCCTCCTCCTCCACCTCCTCCTCCACCTCCTCCACCGTCTTGACGCAGAGTGGACTTCAAGCACAGGGCTCCCGGCGTTCGTCCTCCTTCTACTCCTCCTCCTCCTCCTCCTCCTCATCCTCCTCGACACCACCACCATCATCATCACCACCACCATCATCACCATCATCGTCCTCATCATGATCAGCACCATCCTCCTCCTCCTCCTCCTCCTCATCATCATCATCATCACCAGCATCATCGTCCTCATCATCATGATCATCATCATCATCAGCATCATCATCATCATCCATCATCATCGTCAGCATCATCAGCATTATCATCAGCATCATCACCATCATCCTCATCATCACCATCACAATTATCGTCGACGTAATCGTCGTCGTCACCATCATCATCATGATCACATTCAGCAGCATCATCATCATCAGCATCATCATTATCTCCATTTCCATCACCATCACCATCACCATCACCGTTACCATCATCATGTTCATCATCATTATCAGCATCGTCATCATAATCTCCATCCTAAAAATCATAATCATAATCATCGTCGTCCTCCACCACCTCATGGTCTGAATCATCTTCAGCATCATCATCATCATCATCATCATTATCCTGACCATTAATATCCGCCTCCTCCTCCTCATCAACACCGTCGCCGTCGACGACAATGTATGTGTCGTCGCTGTCGTCGTCGTCATCATCGTCGTCGTCGCCGTCGTCGTCGCCGCCGCCGCCGCGGTCGTCGTCGTCGTCGTCATCGTCGTCGTCATCATCATCATCACCACCATCACCACCTACACCACCACCACCATCAGCAGCAGCGTCAGCATCAGCATCAACATGATCGCCATCATCATCGTCATCGTCGTCGTTGTTGTCATCGTCATCGCCATCATCATACCCACCACCATCACCATCATAAGCATCATCACCACCACCATCACAACCACACCACCACCATCACAACCACCTTCAGCAACACCACCATTACCGTCATCATCACCATCATCATTACCATGTCCATGACCACGACCATGACCAGCAGCATCATCATCATCATCACCACCATCATCGCCATCACAACACTATCATCACCATCATCGTCAGCATCCGCTCCGTGGGCCTTGCACAACTGGCGGGCTCTGGTGGGACTGGAGGGCTCAGCCTGCTCGCCACAGAGCTCGAGCCTGAGCCGCGCACGACCCCTAAAACCCGCCCGCTGCTTGAGCGAGCACCCTGCCCGAGCTCAGATGGCAGCTCTTGGCGACTCGTCGCGACATCGTTGCAGAGCATCTGATCCATCCACACCCACAGCTGCTGGAATCCTGGCCTGGAGCCGGAGGAAGCTGTGGGTGTGGATATTCTTCCCAGCCCTGCAGGGTGATATTCATATCCACCGCTCTTGGAAAGGTCCTCTAAGCCCCTGGGCCCGACCCGAAGCGGCGGATATGAATAGATTCTAGCGGTGGAATCGTTTCCCTTGCCATGTATGGACGCGTCTCGTTCCGCCAGGCTGTGTCGGCCTCCAGACTCTGGCTAGAGCGCACCCCTCGAGAGGACCCGGGGTTGAGAAATCACGCCAGCAGCTGTTCATCACTCTCCGCGTCCAGAACCCGTCTCTCAATCCCAGGGCCATCGAGAGACGGCCCAGGATGAGAGGCTGGTGCCGCGAAGAGACCGAGATCTCCAACAGCGTGCGGATTCGAGTCGCCGTGAAGCACATGCGCAAGTTTCAGTACAACTTCGAGGAGACGCAAGAGGAGGGATCGGGGGAAAACAAAAGGTACAGATACCGCTACTCTCCCGGCCGTTCCTGGAGTGCGTTCTGACCCAGAATTTCGCGGCGAATCCAGCGGTGGCGACGAGGGCCACCCAGGAAGCCAACAAAGAGAACGAGGGAAGGGTAGCAGCATCGGCACCTCTTCTTCGGCAAACTATTGGGCCCCGAGGACCCGAAGCGTCAGGCTGCCTGGGCGCGAGCGGGCCCAGGCAGCAAGTGCGGTGCCTCCTCGACCCCTGAGGCGCAGAGGTCGGCAGAGGCGGCTTGCAAGGCAGCTCGAAAAGTCTCGGACCCAACCCATCCTCCACACCCTCGCATCACACCACATCCTCGCCCCCTCCAGACGCTGGTACCCGTAACCTTGGCCTCCTCTGAGGATCAGGGGTCTCGGGTCTGGTTGACGGGGCCGCCAGAAGATGACGAGACCCAGTCCGAACCTTCTGGGGATGATGATGATGTTGTTGTTGATTATGATGTTTATGACTTGATGATGGTGCTAGCTATGCCGATGATGATGACGCCTGTGATCATGGTCATGGTTACGTTGACGCGAGCTCCCGCTGCGGGCGCCCGGCGAACAGCCACACATCCGCCGCGCCGTGCCTCCGGCACGGTAAGCGGAGGGCCCCAGGGCTCGTGCAGCACTAGGAGACAGAGCGTGTGCTGCTGCTGCAGCAGCCAGGGGTTAGGTCGAGCGTGTCCTCCGACAGGCAGATTTTGGACGAAAGGTATTTTCAAAAATCAAAAAAAAACCGCAAACATGTCAAACACAGTGGAAGCATCGTCCCCTGACTGTTTTGTTGTTTATGTTTTTTTTGTTTGTTTTGGTTGTAATATGTCTACATGTGTATATATATATATATATATATATATATATATGTATGGGAATCTTCCCACTGTAGAGGACACGCCCGACTTAAAGCCAGAACTGAAAAAATCGTTCAGGGCCCACACCAACCGTTTCCAAGGCCGTCCTGGAGCGTACTGGGGTTTCCTGGGCTGCCTCTCGTGCGTTCTGGGGTATTTCCTGCAAGTCCTCTGGACGCTGTCCCCGCGCACAACGGTCCAAGAAACCCTGGACTTGCCGAAACATAACTTCAATACGTTGTCAATAGCCTCGAGACGGCCCCAGACACCTCCAAGACGGCCCAACAGAGGCAAAAATCATTCATCCCCCCTTCGGTTTTTGAAAGATTTCAGCGTTCGCGCCTTTCGGCTTCCCGTGGCTCCAAGACGGCCCATGAACCCCCAAGAATCGCCCGAAGACGGCCCCAGAGGCCCTTAAGAGAGCCCCAAGACGGCCCCAAAGGCGCCCAGGACGGCCAAGAGGGCCTAAAAACGGCCCCAACAGGGGGCCCAAAGACGGCCCAATGGGAGCCAGAATACGAGCGAGAAGATGAGCGAGCGACGTACAGCGGCTCGGAGTTGACGAACTGGTTGAAAGGGCAGCTGGAACGAAGAACACCAGTGAGCAACTGTCATGGCGTAGGCGTCGTGTTGGCTGCATCTGGACATGGTGTCTGCCGCGCTCGCCAGATGCGTGTTTGGCTGGCTGCAGTCCAAGAGTCTTGGCGAGAACATGCATCGGCGACAGCAAGTTAGTGATGCGAAAAACCAGCAGAATATCCTTCTCGGAAAGACACCACCACTATGAAAGTTCTGGAAGCGCCTTGGGAGTCGGGCCTGCGCACGGACGAACGCTATGTCGAAGCTGGGGGCAGCCGTGCTGGTGCTAACAAGTTTGGTCGATGCCAAGGATGGTGAACATGTGGCGTTAACGTCCACTGATCCACTCGAGTGGTGCGACGTGCTCGCATAGAGGACGGTCAACACTGTCGCAAGCATCCGAGTCACAGTACTAGCCCAGGCAGGTAGCTCGCTGTCATGCCTGACGCTCGCTGTCATGCCTGGGGCTGTGAAGTTTCTAGGGTAGGGCGCCTTCAGCTGCTGATGCTCTCACAACTGAACCCTCAAACGCCTCACACGATCCAGCAATGGCTTCACAGTGGCCTGTGAGCGTCCAGTGCAAATTACCCGAAGCCTCGCAGAACAGCCATGAGCACAAGCTGTTCAAGCAATGGATGGTTGATCCTTTGAAGAGATGGGGGGAAGTGCAGTGCGCGTCCGCATCGCACTCTGCGCAGTCCATTGATCGCAAGCTGAGATCGATCCCAGCTCCGCTACCGACTAGAATTGTGAGGAGGAGGAGGAGGAGAGGGTGATATGGGGACAAGGAGAGGCGGAGGGGGACGGGGACGAGGGGGAGGAGGAAGGGGCAGGGAGAGGAACGATGGGACGACGCGGTGCACGAAGAGGGCAGGGAGGAGGTTGGGCACGCAGGGGCCGCACAGGGGAGCGGGTGCGGGACGGGAGCGAGAGGGGGGACAGGACGGCGCGGGGGGGGGGGGGGGCGGCGGGCAGGAGGAAGAGGTGGAAGACGAGGAGGGACAGGACGAGGAGGATGAGGAAGATGATGATGATGAGGAGGAGGAGGAGGGGAGGAGGAGGAGGAAGGAGATGAAGACGAGGGGGGGGGCGGGAGGAGGGCGGGAGAGTGCTCGGCGCTCTGTCTCTCCGACCGCGTGCGTGTGGGCGCGGCGGCTCGGGGCCCCGGGCGCGGCCTCGCCCTGCCGGCCGGCCAGGTGCGGTGCCAGGAGGTGGCGCGGGAAGGGGGGGAGGGGGGGGGGTGAGGAGGAGGAGGAGGAGGAGGAGGAGGAGGAGGAGGAGGAGGAGGTGGAGGAGGAGGAGGAGGAGGAGGAGGAAGGAGGGGGGGAATGGGAGGGGGAGGAGGGGAGGAGGAGGAGGAGGAGGAGGAGGAGGAGGAGGGGGAGGGGAAGAGGGGAGGAGAGGGAGGGGGGGAGGGGGGGGGGGGGGGCAAGCTGGTGCGCTCGCGTCATATCTGGCGTCCTACCCCTCCCTCCCATCCCTTACCATGGCGCTGATTTTCTCTATCCGCGGACGCGTGTCGTAGCGGACCTGTGGCTCCGCGCGCGCGTGCGTAGTGGGTGGTGGTGCACGTGCGTGCGTGCGTGCGTGTGTGCGTGGTTGTCGTGGTGGTGGTGGTGGTGGTGGTAGTGGTGGTGGTGGTGGTGGTGGTGGTGGTGGTGGTGATGGTGGTGGTGGTGGTGCTGGTGGTGGTGGTGGTGGTGGTGGTGGTGGTGGTACTGGTGCT